GTGAACATGGATCAAGAAGCCTCGATTTAAAACTTCTGTGATTGCAACAGAAGAAAGAAGATGAAACTGTACAATTTAGAAATATATTCATTTAATCAAAACGAATTTGGAGAGAAAGGATGAGAATGGTCGTTCAAAAGGATTCGGTTTTTGTTGCTTTGAGACCGCCAAAATGGCCGAAGATGTAAAAATTTTCTTCTCTATTTTGAAGTCACCGTGTACTGATCATTATCCAATTATTTTTCAAGGCTATCAAAGCGTTTAATGGTTATACGCTTGGTGATAAACAGTTATATGTTGGACGATTTCAAAATAAAAACGAACGAAGAGCGGAAATAAAACGGCAAAGAGATTCACAACTTGAAGAACGTATGAAAAAATATGAAGGACTGAATTTGTTTATTAAAAATTTGGATGATACAATTGATGATGAACGTTTAAAAAAAGAATTCGATAAATTTGGAACAGTTACAAGTGCAAAAGTACGTCATTTTATTGCTTAGACTAAAAGTCAAGGGTCATACAAAATCGAGGAGTAACCGATCGTTCGTATGCATAAACAAAAACTGAGATTGAGAATGAAGTAAAGGGCTAATAAGCAAGTAGAGGATACTGGATGAAAGCATGACGTGACGAGCACTAATTACTGGATGAGACGCCTTCCCGACCAATGTGAAAAGCATTGAAGTAATAAAACATGCCGTTTGTTGGAGGAAAAATATATTTTATAGAATAACTAATATTTACTCCTTGGAGAGAAAAAGAGTACATCGAAAAGGGGATAGAGGGAGATCAGGCTGGTCTGGAGATTCTGCTACTATTAGTTTTAAGAATATGGTCTTGAGATAAGCAGGACTTTCTGTCTGATATAAAGGAAAGTAAATGTTACTTGCTCTTTACCATGAAATATTTATCATTTGTTTTTTGTCAGGTTATGACTGATGGTAGACGATCCAAGGGATTCGGATTCGTTTCCTTCGCGAAACCAGATGAAGCAGAAAGGGCTATTACTGAAATGAATGGTACGATTGTTGGTTCTAAGGGTTTACATGTTGATTTCCTAGAACAAAAAGCAGACCGTCGTGTCCGGTTGACAAACGAGCATCAGGAACGTATACGTGCATCACGAATTCAAAACTCTCAAATGCAGTCTTCAAGTATTATGGTACCCTGTTTAGTGATGATGCCCCTCCAATCAATAAACTCTTGTTCCGTGCCGCCCTTGCCTGCAATGTGCCACCAGCAGGATGAGCTTACACGTCAAATAGCGGCCTTGTTTCCTTCTCGTGCTCATGCACCAACTGTACAAAATACGATGACCCGTCCGATGCCAGCACGACCCAATTATTCATCCGGCAACGATGCAGATTAACATGCAACCCACTTAACATATCACAGATTTCGATATTATGATAGAGAAAATACATGCTGTCTTCCTTATCCGTTTTAATCGAATCTAACACCAATCTTGCATTTCGCCGCAGATTACTGCCCACTTTAAATAGAAGAGTAGCGAGCGTTAGTTAACGCTAACGTTAAAAAAGTTAATTTCAACCTTATTCTCATCCTTTCTCTCCAAATTCGTTTTGATTAAATGAATATATTTCTAAATTGTACAGTTTCATCTTCTTTCTTCTGTTGCAATCACAGAAGTTTTAAATCGAGGCTTCTTGATCCATGTTCAC